GAAAGCAAGGAGGCTTTGCTGCAGCAACAGTCAGCCCCAAGGACAGGCAACAGGTAGCCAGAAGCAGCAGGAAGTTGCTGGCCAATTAGGGGTCTGAGGCTCTCAGGATCTAGTGTTAATATAGTTTTGGCTATAAGAGTCACAAGTGTTAGCTGCATTATTCTTTTGGTTTTTTGAGACAGGGTCTTTGCTGTGTACTTTAGGCTGCTCTTGGCTTAGTATGTAGCCCAGACTGGACTCAAACTCAACAATCCTCCTGTCTCAGGTCCCCAGTGTTAGTATTATAGTCATGTTCTACTATGCCTAGCACTATATTACTCTTGTACCTGAGAACAAAGCACTTTTCAGTAGTTCCATAAATTCCTCAAAATGACTAGCCCTAGTCTGGCAGCAACATGCACATTCCAGTCTTAACTCATTTCAAGAAGCCTGAGATTAGTCAAAAATCACAGCTGATGCTATCATACCTCACCTCCATCTCCAAATGTCTACCCGCTGCTCACCTTCAAGATCCTGTGGAACTGTAATTCTAGCACTCAGGCGGCTGAGGCAGGAGGATCGCCAGCCTGGGCTACAAGTGAGCTCAAGGCCAGCCTGAACTACATAGTGAAACCCTGTCTCAAAAACACCAAAAAAAAAAAAAGAAGAAAAAAAAGATCCTGTGGAAGGTCTAGTTTCTTCCACCCTTGCCTCCACATCTACAACCTAAATATCACCTTTTCCCAGAGGCACAGTTAAGTGAACACTAAAACCAAGAGTATAGAATATTGAAAAACAAGAGAGTCTAGAATAGGATCTGGCACTTACGAGGTATATACTAAATATTGGTTGACTAAAATAATGAATGGAGGGAGTATAGTGATACACGCCTATAATCCCAGCACTCAGGAGGCTAGGGACAGGAAGACTGCCATGAGTTCAAGACCACTCTAGGCTCCATAGTGAGTTCAAGGCAAGCTTGGCTTATATACCAAGACGCTGTCTCAAAAAAAATTTGTTTCATTAATTAGTCAAATAAAATGAATAGAGCGTCTGTTTTTTAAATAGCCCTTGTTACCTTTGAATGAGCCTACATTTAGAGAATAATCTGAGATCTCTGAGCTTCTAAGGACATGATTCTAATTCCTACTTTGTAGCATAAATGAATGAAGGAAGACAACTTCACCTCCATTCTTCTCTTGGCTTTCAGGTCATCAAAGCAAAAAGCACAAACCTATTTCACAAGAACAGAACAATGAGTTCCACGCTGCCTTTATTCCTCCTAGCTAAAGTTCAAGGTAGTCTACCTCTACCATTACTATAAACTCTCTTGGTGTTACAATTTGTATCTAGATGGCCCCCCAAAGCCTCAAGCCATCAAGGGCGTTGGGCTTTTTAGAGGCAGCTAAATCTAGTTTGTGACTGGTTCACTGTCTAGTCCTGGAACTGGAGGTATGACTGCTATACCCGCCCTAGAGCAGGTAGCCTGCATACAATATAAGGGAGGAAAAGAGGTTTGCTCCTCCCCTATTATTCTTACTGCTTTTGCTGTCTTCCACCACTATGAACTGCTGCCCCTCTGCCATGCCACCCTGCCTTAGTAGAGCCAGTGGATTATGGACTGAAACCTCCACAAACTGTGAGCTAAATTAATCTTTCCCCCTTTAACCTTGGATGTCAGGTATTTTATCTCAGCAACAAGAAAAGTAACCAAGACACTTGGAAAGAAAATAGGTTAAGTACTTCAGTTCTGGTGGTTCTCAATTATTTTCTGATGATACAAAAGAGGATATGAACTCTTAACCATGATCCCTTCCTCAAGACTCACCTGTTCTACCTTTACCTTATTTCTGCATCCCACATAAACCAGATACATAACCAAATTAATTGACACAAAACAGAAATTGTATATGCACCAGACACAGTGGCATGTGCCCATAATCCCAGCACTTAAGGAAAAAGGATCACAAATTCATGTCCCACATGGGCAAATTAGTGAGATTATTTCTGAAAATAAATTTAAGTTTGGTACAAAGACCCTGTGCTCAATCCCCAGCACTACCAAAGACAGGAATAAATTAAGTAAGTAAGTGAGTATATATATTTTGTAAAGAGTTTGTCTAAGGGATCACAAACATATAAACTTTACAATAGGCACTGAATTTTGCTTCTAACTTAGTTTCTTCACTTATCCAATACACACCATATATCTCCTAGTAGTGTACGAACAACTAACTGCCAATTTCAAGTGATGTCTAGATAACATCACTCCTAAGACAACATAATTAAAAGCTTAATCTTCTGCATTGTAAGGATATGACTGTCATGTAGAGCTGTCTCTGTCAAAACAGACAACAGAATCCTGAGATTAAATTCCTGTCTCATTTCTACATCACTTTTAATCATTCCTCTCACAAAACAGGAAAGCAGCTAGGAATAAAGGAACCTTGACGCAAACAGGAAGCTTAGCAAGAGATGGGAGGCCCTTGTACCACGACGCAAGGCTAAGGCATAACACTCTGGGCTCCAGTGCACAAAGGACCAACAGAAAGATAGCAGGGACAAGCTGGAAGAAGACCTGAGTACTCTCAGTTCACTGTTCAAGCTGTAGCCCAAGCTACATAGTTGAGTTCAAGGCCACCCTAAACTACACTAAAGTTAGAGCTTGTCTCACTATTTACTTATGTATCTGGAATTTGCCTTTCCAAAAGGTAAAGAATTTAAAATCTTATATTCTTGCTGGGAGTAATGGGGCATGCCTATAATCCCACCACTTGGGAGGCTGAGGCAGGAGGATATAAAGTTATGTAGCTTGGGCTACATAACTACTCACAAAGATTCTGTATCAAAAATTAAAACAGGCCAGGCATGTAGTTCAGCGTGAAAGCCCTGGGTTCAATCCCCAGTACCACCAAAAAAAGGAAAGAAACCAACAATATATTCTTAAAATACATAAATTAAGATTTCAATTTAGTATAAGACAAATAGTATGTAAAGTACAGATCTCATGATGGCTAATATTAAATAAAGTCATCAGTATGTCTGTGTTAAAACACAGAATCCCTGGGCTGAGGTGGGGGCTCATTAGTAAAGCGTTTGCCTAATGTACAGTAGGTCCTTGGATCAATCTCAGCATCACCAAAAACCAACAAACAAAAAGCAAAATAGAATCATTAACTATCTGATTGACTTCAGGGCTGGAGATTTAGCTCAGCAGCACAGCGCCTGCCTGGCAAGCACCAGGTCGTGAGTTCGATTCCTGGTACCGGGGGAAAAAAAAAAAAACTATTTGACTGACTTCTGAAATGACCTCACAGGAAATATGCTCAAGTGGTTGCCTCTGCTAGAATAATAAGCCAAATCTGTTAGTTAATGGACAGTGCTATTCCTCTACTACCGTAGTTTAAATGCCATGTCCTCCCAATAAGAAGCCCTTCAGGCAGACATGGAAGTTTGATTCATCATTTGTTTGGTTGGCTTGGCTTGGTTTGCTTTGGTTTGGTTTTGGGGTTTGGTTTGATTTTTTGGTTTTCAAGCTGGCCTTGAACTCACTCTGTAGACCAAGCCTGCCTCAAACTCACAATGATCCTGCTGTCTCAGCCTCCCAAGTGCTAGGATTAAAGGCATGTCCCATGCCCGGCTTAGAAAACTACCATACAAACTCTTAAGGCTTCGAAGGTATATATACTTCTATTAATTGCCTTCTCTCCTACTCTACCTCCTTCAATTTAGAGATTCAGTGAGACCTTGCTTCAAAATTTTTTTTCAAAAAGGGCTAGAATGTAGTTCAGTGTGAAGGCCCTGGACCCTGGACATAAAAATAAAAATACCATATAAAATTAGCTTTACACTATTTGTATAAGGTATACATGAAACATAAATATATTTTGTGTTTAGACTTAGGTCTTATCCCGAAGATATACTAGAACATATACATAAATATTGCAAAATCTGAAAAAAAACACCAGACATACAAAACAAGATATGGAAGGAGGGCAAGGAGGAGAGAAAAAGAGGATGTACAAAAAATTAAAATGTGTTATAGCCTGGCACAGTGGCACATGCCTGTAATCCCAGCATGTGGGAGGCTGAGACAGGAGGATCCCTGTGAGTTCCAAGACAGCCAATTCCATCCCAGCACCACCCACCAAAAAAACAACAAAAAAAGAAGAAAAATGCAACTGAGCAGTATCTGCAAGATGTGGCTAAAATAGTACTTCACAGGAAATTTAGAACCTTAAATGCTTATATTTGAAAGTAAAAAGATCTAAAACCACTGAGCCAAGGGTACAGAAAAACTTTTAAAAAGTCAAAACAAATCTATAATGGGGTAGGAGGGTTTTGCTGGAAATTTAACCCAGGGCTTTCACACTGAGCTTTATACGCAGCCAGTTCTTTAACATTTTGAGATAAGGTCTTGCTAAATTGATGGACTGCCAAGGATGGGCTTGAACATGCAATCTGCCTATTTCAGCCTTCTGGAGTTCCATCATTACAAGAGTATTACCACTACAGCTTCTACGGCATTTTCAAAACAACAAACCACAGAGAAAATTCAACTAAAAGGTTAGTTCTTTGAAATCTTCAACAAAATTGATAAATCCCTAGCCACACTAACTAAAAAAGAACGTGAATACAAATTCCCAAAATGAAAAGGGAATAGCATTAAAATAGGGCATTAGCTGGGCATGGTGGCTCACTCCTGTAATCCCAGCACCTCTAGGAGGTTCAAGGAGGAGGATCACAAATTTGACACGCCCCCACTCCACTTTGGGTAACCTAGCAACCTAATGAAACTTTGTCTCAAAATATTAAAAATGGGGGCTGGGGATCTAGCTCAGAGTGAAGGTTATGGGTTCAATACCCAGGACTACAAAATTAATTAATTAAAAATAATTTTTCAATGAGATTATTAATAAAAAGTAAAAAAATCATTAGAAGTTTTTTTTAGTTCACAATCAAAGCAAAAACATATATATATATATATATGCATATATACTGAGTGAACTCTAAATATGAACCTTCTACAGTTGAAATCCCTTTTAATTCAGCAAGAGGAGACGCCGGTTCCGTTTTCATAGTGTTTTCTCCCATTGACTTGCAGTTCAACTCCAAGCCTGCAGCCCCTAATCCATCCCCAAAGGAGTGACAAGTTAGCGTAGATGACACCTGGCCAGCTTCCAAAGGAGATTTCAACTGACCTAGAAGAAAAAAAGAAAGTGTGAGGAACATTATATGTATATAATCTGAAAATCAAAAATCCAGTAATAGACTAAGGAAGCCAGGAACCTGCTAAAGGAAGCTGTTCATCTAACAATATACACTCACAGGTTCCTAAACATATAGCCATGGCTGTGAATATCTCAAAGGAGGATAAAGTGAAAGGAGAAATTCCTAGAAATGTCAATAAAAAAAAGCATGGAGTGAGATGACACCAGAAAGACAGAAAAGCAGGGTTTTTGAAGCAGTGTACCTCCAACCTAGCACGGAGCAATAAGTAAACCCAAGCACAAATGCATTCAGAAAGTCTATCTACAGTGGCTGGGAATTTAGCTCAGCAGCACAGCGCCTGCCTGGCAAGCACAAGGTCATGAGTTTGATTCCCGGTACTAGGAAAAAAAAAAAAAGTCTATCTATTAAATGAATAGTCAGTGGAGAACAAAATATTACATGAATACTGGGGCCCATTCAATAATATGATTTCAAGACAATACTTATGGAAGCCAGCACATAATGACTTAGACTGGCTCTCATTTTCTCACTAGACAAGCACCAGGTTGGCAAAACAATTCCAGAACAGACTCAGACTCACCTTCTTCAGATTCCTTGGTACTAGCTGATGTGTCTCGCAGAGGATCCGCATCAACTGTATCAACCAACTCTGGTACAACCAAATCAGGGTCTAGGACCTCAGGGGTCCCATTAGCGGATAGCCTGGAAGACCGTCTCCTCGATAAATCTTTTTCAGAGCAGTTTTTTGACTTTTTCTGGGCTAGAAACCATTAAGAAAGTTATAGTCCAGAGACTAACAGAAATAATTCTGCCATTACACATTTCTGGGCCAGTTGCCTCTACAAGAATTTTATAGAGACTTCTGGAATGTTAGATTACCATCCTTTCCTACTGGATAGTTTTAAGTAAAGGTAAACTCTCTCTGCTTGGACAGAATTTTTATCACTGAGGACTCACAACATGAAAATATGTCTCTATCTTGACAATTAAGTTCTATTTTGGAGCTTCCCAACATGAAAATCTATATGTTAACTTCCAAAGTCAATTATATTTTATACAAGTCTTATTTAGAGCCTTTACAAATCTTTTTGAAGTCAACAGAGCATTTTTCTAATCAATAAATAGCATTCTTTAATCCTCTCTCAGCATACAAAATTTACCCCTTCCCGAACCACTGAATTTCCAGAGGAATCCAAATCAAACAGTTTGTGGAAATGGATATGATAGCACTGAGCTCCATACTAACGAAGTTTTTGTTTCTTCTAGCAGTAACTCCTAATTCAAGCATGTTCTATTCACATTAGCTCATGTGATCAAGCATTAGAGCCTATAAGTTAGACAAGGGAGACTAATCAACACAATGTCAAATTCCAGCCACATATACACAAATTGGACACTCACATGAATTTTTGTCAAGTCGAGGACGTTTTAATGGGATGTTACTTCCTTTCGATATTTTCCGTCTTCTCAGTTCCAATGTTATTGGTTGTAAAGTTTGAGAGTTTGAATCCACAGCTACAAATACAGAAAACCACATAAAAAAGTATGTAATTTCTTAGTGTCTGGTCTTGTATTTTACATACAAATTATATTCTATATTAAATTATATTATACATGCAGCATCCTCATTAGACTCTTTAAAAAGGGTGCTCTTAAAGAGGAGGGGCATTCTTAGATAAAAAAGAAATGACACGAGTGAGAAAGCACTTCCTCTGGGGAGCATCGACACCTTGCAGACTGACCTGCTGAATCTTTCTGTGGTGTCTCCTATGACTGAGCTCTCCCAAAACTCTCTTTAAAGCACCACACCCCAACATGACCCGTATAAAAATATGAAAATGTGCCACGCATTGTGGCACATGCCTGTAATCCCAGCACCCTGGCGGCTGAGGCAGAAGGAACCCCCTGAGTTCAAGGGAGCCTAGGATACATAATGAGTTCGAGACCCTGTCTCAAAAAAAAAAGTGCCTGGACAAAAATAAAGTCATTTTTATCACCATCAAATTCCACTAAAACTCACCTATCCAGAAGGAAAAGAAAGGAAGGGAGGGAAGGAAGGAAGGACAGATAGAAACCTACCCTATCAGACAGTCAGGAAATTCACCATGCAGGCTAACCCTAAAATGTGTACCATAGAAGTAAGGCTTGATTACTATTTTCAGTCTCTACTTGCTAAATTAGCCATGAGTGTCAACATTTATACTCTCTTTAAAAACAATCCCCAAAGCTACGGGAAGTGGCACATGCCTGTGATCCCAGCACTGTGAAAGGGTGAGGCAGGAGAATGGCAAATTCAAATCCGGTCTGGCCAATTTAGAAACTTAGGGAAATCCTGTCTCAAAATTTTTTAAAAAGTGTAAGGATATGTCTCAGGGCAAAGGCCCTAGGTTCAACCCCCGCACTACCACCACCACCACCACCAAAAAAACCTCCAAAATCTCAGGACACTGCCATGGACAGTCAATGTTCTGGACAAGGCTGATGGTCCTAGCAGATCCACACTTCATATAATTTAGCAATGCAGGCAATAAGCCCTTGGGGAGTGTTTGCACCTTACTTTTAAGCCTGAAAATGTAGACTTTCTCCCCCAGTCTGAGAAAATGAGAATTCAAAATGCAGGCAAGATTAAGAAGAGGACATCAGGGGGCTTGGCAGGAAGTCAGGGATAAGGGGCCTGAGGAAGGACAAAGGAGTTAAGAAAAAGAGGAAGGGAAGAAAAAGGGGAAAGGGAAAGGAAACAGAAGAGGAGAAAGAAGGAGAGAAAAAAAACTCATTAGTAGCTTCAAGTCAGCCGACAAAGGGCTGAAAAAGAGGCAAGGCTGAGCTCCAAGGGGGCCACCCTCGCTCTTGGCTCCTTCTGTATTCCATCTTCCCCACATGCCAGCATTGTTCTCTTCCAAGTGGAGGGAACTTGGATCACACACACTACAAGCTAAACACAAACACATACAACCCTCTCTGCATAGTTCAGATTCTGTTCCCAGCCAGGTCAGAGAACTCAAGGCTCTATATCAATGAATTTCTTCCAAACAATTTTTCTAAAGGACAGTTTCACTATGTACGAGACATCTGGCAAGGCTTCTTCCTTTTGATAAGATATACAAATGAGGACTGACTGCACATAACTTGAGTATTTCTCAAATTTTATTCTGGGAAGATTGTTAGCAATTTGCATTCCTTGGTCTAAATGCAGAGATTGTGACTGGGGAGGACTCAGACACAGAATTATTGTGACAAATGCTTCGGGCAAGGGTTAATATCGTTGCTAACATTGTTTGGAGAATTAAATGCCGATGTCTTGTACTCTGAGTAACTAATTTAAACATAACAATATGCAGTGTATTAACCACTGTTACCTACCCTATTATCTTGTTTTGAAATTTTGTTCTCTTTAAAATTAAAAAAAAAAAAAAAAAAAACAGTGAACTTGGAAAACACCCTTTCTTTATTAAATACCATCTGGCATTATAAAATAAAAACAATAAAGTGAATGCTTATTTTCTTATTTGGGTGAAGCCATGTGAATCTGGGTCAATCATAAGGGCAGTCTGCAAGCCGGGGTATAACTACTCAGTATACACTTTCCACAAGGTTTAATCCACAGCATAAACAGTGAAAGAGGAATCAGTTTCAAAACATTCAAGTCTCACATACACTATTTCCTAAGCTGAGCTGATGACATGTCAGACTTCTACCCTTTCTCATTTTCTACTCTCCTTGTGCAACTCCCACTTTACATAAAAAGGTCTCTCTCTCACTCATCCTATAACATGGTGCAATGCCTACAGGATTAAAACCTCCAGACTTTCTCAATTTAGATTCTCATCTGAACACACAACAGAGATTATTTTTTTGATTTCCCTTAGAGTGGCATACAGTTAGTACCATTTCAATGTACAGAACCCCAAATTAGTCACAGATCATGAATGTCTTGGGCATTAGGACTTAATTCTCTCTCAGAAACCTGTGAAGAGGTCAACTAAAAAAATTTTTTTTCCACTGCTGTGGAAAAATGTAAACCACATGTACTTTAAAATATTTTAAGCCAGGCGTGGTGGCACATGCCTGTAATCTCAGCACTCGCAAGGCTGAGGCAGGCGGATCGTTGTGAGTTCGAGACCAGCCTGGGCTACAAAGTGAGCTCAAGG